TGAGCCATCTGTTTCTTCATGTTAGTGCTGGCCGAACCTCAGGTAAACTGGAAACTTAGAAGAATTCCATAGTAAATGGTGGCGCCTTCCTAACATTTAGATGTAATGGGTTTGGGTTTGGGTGTCATTACAGAGAAATTTGAGGAGAAAATCCTCCAGTATAAGGGACAGAGGCAAGTGCTATTGGGTGTTGCATACGTTCACTCAAATAATAAGCTAACTGTTCATCTTCTTTTGCGTTTCGTCTTTCACCTATTTCACTGTGTCTACAAATATTTTGCAGAAGAACTAAGAGAGGGGAGGGGAAGATATATTTTTGCCCCTAAACTGCAGACGGGGGCAGACATGAAAGAGGAGTTGCAACGGACTCTCCTAACCTAACGCAGCCGTGAACCTTTTGTCACTAATGTTACCACACCAGAGAAAGAAAGAATTGATGCGTTACCAATCTACCGTCACTATATCTTCAACCAGCTATATCAAGATTCAAGATTATTTACGGCATATACCAAATTATCTCTGATTCTCCTTTAGGTTATTAAATTGAATTACTAGAGATTTATTTTATTGTTGCAGGTTATACGCTGTTATTGCATAAAAGATAAACTCAAAAGGAATGAAGAAACGCGCTAGCCACCCACAGGTCGAAAGCAACTGTACGTAGTAGCTGAAGCCATTTTATATATATACTCCAGCAGTCCAGCTTCCCCTTTTGCTGTTCTAACTTTCTATCGATAGACTTCGTAGTTACCTCAAGCATTCAAGGACACTTAGATAAGTTGCAAATGTACAAAAAACCTTATAAGTTTATTGGGCACTAAAACAAAACCTGCCAAGAAATAAACAAGTGGCAGTATTCCTGTGGACTATCCAACGTAACATAATTAAAGATCTAATAGATCACTCGAGAAACTCTCCAGAGCACTGCCATTACTAAGCAGCAGATGGGCTAGTTACATATAAGGTACTGATGTTTGCATCAGAAAAAGCAGCTGCCATTAATCTGTTTGATTCAACTTCACCCTCAACTCCAGCAATATGAATACAACCCTGCTTATGATCCAATGTCTGGTCATTATAAATATCCCACCATTTCTTGACTAGCATTTTGATATCTTCCCGATCCATATTTTCTTCCTTTCCAGTGTATTTCCACGGCTTAGCCCCTGGAGAACAGTAATGAACTGCTTTCGCTTTGTTGAGCTCGATTTTCTCCGGATGGCGCCATAGCATTGCCAGCAACAAATTGTATACATAAGAAATTGGCTTGTACTTGTCTTTGAAGAACATGTTCAGAAAATCCTACAAAAATGTAATAAAGATACATTAATAGCCAATCATCATAGAAAGCATAGCAATTCTATTAATGGTCCGAAGTACATTAATATGAGACGTTTGAGAAGAAGAAACACATTATGGGGAAAATAACAAGGTATAGCCGCTCAAAATAATAGCCAAAAAATGTATTTATATATATATATACATTATGTATGTTATATAGAGAAATTATACAAATTTTACACTTTTTTGGCTACTGACTGGGCTAAAAGTGAAAAAATCTCAAACATTATCTTAAAAATCGATGAGTCTATGTCATATAGCAGGGGGAAAAAAAGTCAATTCATCTAAAGATGACATTAGCCATCCATAGTAAAATGAGCAAGTTTGCTAAGGCACCTGCTATAATTTGTTAAAATAAATAGATAGCAGTATGAGTTACATTATAGTAATATATACCTAACTGCCCCCACCAAATATGAGACTGCTCCTTCCTTAACCAGAGGTCTCGGATTCGAGACCTGGGTATGGAAAAATTCTTGGTAGGGAGCACTTCCCCGCGAATGGGACCCTACGCGGCCCGAATCCGGATATAGTCGGACTCCAATGCATACCTGACACCGGGGGAAAATCAAAAAATATATATACCTAACTGCCTGCATACACCACCTAGTATAATATATACAGGTATATATTATTTTGGGGTTTAATTAATTTTATATATGTAAATGTAATACCTGCTCGGCAAATTGGGTGGGAGGGGTAAGTTTGAGAGTGTTCAAGAGATCAGCATAGATGGAGAGATTGGGCTGAAAGACAAACATGCCTGCGTTGAAGTAGATAGGTGGCCTTGACCCCAACTCTTTAGGCCAAGGTAGAACCTCGGGGCATGACTGCCCATACATCTCACATATGCAGTCGGCCACGGCATAGAAATGGTTGTCAGGTAAGTTGAAAAGATGGTCTACGTTCTCAAAAACTTGCATGTCTCCGTCCAAGTATACCATCTTACTGAACTCCACAAACTGTAATAGCAAAGGAACAAGAATTCATGAAACAAGAAATTTTAATATATAGTCAGGTTCGTTAAAATGTAGATGACTCTATTTTATAGTTAACTAATTACATAAAATAAAATTGTAGTACTACATAATATTAGGACAGTTAATTTAAGGCAGAGGAATAAGTAATATATTCTTAGTTAACTTACCATTGCTGAAAGCATTTTATGAACTTGAACTTGAGCAAGTTCTGGGACATCCAAAACGTGTTACATAACAGTTAAAGAAACATTCTTTTTTACTACTTACAAAAATATATAAAAAATAGCAAAAGGCTAAAGTTTCAGTTCTCCCCACACCTTCTAAATTAAAAGATCTTCATTTGAAAGAAAAAGGAAAGTAAAGCAACAACGTAATGTAGCAGGAACATTATCAACTCTTGCATGTTGTTTTAGAGAGTTTACCTGCCAAATACAAAGTTTGGAGTAGTTGAGAACGTAATAAGATCTAGCATACTTATTATCCGATGATTTTAATGAAGGAGAAAGTGGCTCAATCTCCCTCACTATGCAACCATGGCTCCTTAGTAGCAGCCGGTGTTCCTCCGGCACATCCGGCAAAATCGCCACCACCAACGGATACATAGATTTAGCTTTTATCAACCCCTTTGCCAAACCCACCACCCCTTTCACATAGTCACCATTACCAGCCAAGAAAGTCACATAAGCAAAGCTCCTTCTTTTTGTACCAGTCAAAAGTTCAGGAGCCATTTTTCTATAAATTTTTAATTAGCAGAAGAATATTCAAGAAGAAGCCGTTGAAGTATTTTGATTATGAGAATTTTTACTTGAGTTATAGCAACATATATGTATACATGCATGTATATTATTGTTGTTGCATGAAAAGTGGGCTACTGTTATACGGCAAATAGTATCACCGACCAAAAGACATGAAACCGATAACGTTGAGAGTTAGCAATGGGGATTGTAGACAGCCACGTCTCAGACTGCAATGCCATTTTAGTGTCGTACTACGCTACGTGTATTTCTCGTACTATGCATCGACACGCGGCCGAAATGTACCATTGCTTTCAAACTGCATATATATAAAAAAAAAAACTAAGGTTTTGCAGTTACGTATATACAGTTCTACTTAGTCCAGTGTGTGTTCTTTGTCCTTGGTGGTTAATTTAGACTACTCTTATTTCTATTTTTCGTATATGTAGCCGGACGAACATTAAAATTAAAATATTGCTCACAAATGCTCATTTAATTTCAGCACGCTATTTTCGTTGTGCCAAAACTGAATCAAGAAAGCCAAGCTTTTCAGATGTCACTGCAAGAAAGTATGGAATTTGTAACAATTTTTTAGCAATAACTATAGTATTGTTGGCAAAAATGAACAAATAGCAACAACCTCATAAAGTTGTTGCTAAATCGTATAATTTTTAACCACAAAATTTTTCTTGTTAGCATATTATGATATTGTTGCTATATTCTATTATTTAGATAATTAATTTTAAATTAAAAAAATTGGCAACAATTTTTTGCAACCATCACAGTGTGGTTGGCTTATTGTAATAAGTGACAACAACTTTAAAAAATTGTTGCTATTATCATAGAACTTTTAGCAACGTCTGATTCATTGTTACCAACCACTGCATTGAATAGTTGTACCAAAAGCAATGCTAATTGTACTGCGCACTTGGCTTTATCCAATTCCTTCACATTTTAATTTGCTACGTGTAATAAATAGCATTGTCCTTTCATTTTGGCCATCTATACTGACGGAGTTACCAAGAATTTTATCTCTGACACCGTTCTCAAATTGCTCTCTGTTTCTTTTTGTAATTGTAATGTCAATTGCTCTCTGCTTCAAAGACTACTCCCCAACATTCTCCAATTCGATGACACCATTACTCTTTCAAAATTCTTTTTTGTTAAAGACGAATCCAGCTAATCCATCAGCCATGAATTTGAAATTTTTGAAGAGAACTAGGGGAAGATTTTGGCAAAAATTGAAAGAAAAGGAGCTTCGATATAAACATTGACCCCGCTCGCCGCAAAAAGGTACGTTTTTCATCAATTTTTCTGGAATAGCAGCTGAAATTTAGTTCTCTAATTTCCTCATTAGTTGCAAATGTAAATATGGCTTAAAATAAATTAATGATATTTTGCTTTGATATTGGCAACAGTAAATTTATATTGTTGGCAATACACTTTATTTTTGCCTACAAAATAGGTGGGTTGTGGTCTACAACTTAGCTAATTATTTTTCAGTTTTCCGCCAAAATCAAACGCGCCAAAATTTTGTATTGTTAATCACTTTTTCCGGATTTTTAGCCCACTATTTTAGTTGCTTTGGGTAAGTTTTTTGTTGCTGCCATATTTTATTTGAAAACATAGTTGTTTTAAAATATAATAAATTAGCAATAATTTATATTTGGTAGAACCCCTAATTGTCTCAACAAGTTCTGTTCACGCCTTAATTTTCTCAACAGGTTTGGTTAGTGGCCTAAGATTTAGCTTAGTATTTTTCAACTTTCCGCCCAAAGAAAAGCGGCAAACCAGTTTCTTCCTTTTAATTATCTTTTCCTTAATACTTAGCCTATTTCAGTTACCATTCTAGCAAGGTTTTCTCCTTTATTATTCTACAGCTCTGAGCAATTGGTTCTGGTCTATTCTTTGCTTCGTTATTTTTGGTCTACAAAGTCTGGTGAGTCTTGCTGATTACTATTTATCTATAGCGTGTTGCTTCGCTTGTATCACTGTTCATTCAATTCATATGCTGTTATTTTTACTGTATTTTAGTATAGAGTCTTTCTCTGACCTTTTCCTTATTTATTTTTTTGCTAAATTGACAACAAAAAATTGAGGGACAGTTAATATTTTATATTTTTGTAGGTTATTATATGATGGATAAAAGTTGGATACTTCTTAGGAATAGGGCATTACCAGAATACTTGAATGGCGTGGAACAATTTTTAAACTTTGCATTTTCGAATCCTAATATTAGTTTAAGAATTCAATGTCTGTGCACTAACTGTAACCATGTGCGTAGGAAAATACGAGAAGAAGTGAAAATAGATTTACTTAGGTGGGGTATAGATCCAACATATAATAGGTGGATTCATCATGGTGAGTCAGATTTATCTTCAGATGATGAAATAAATTCTAGTGCAAATTCAGATTTAGGAAATGATGATGATGCCACTTTCGAGATGTTGCATGACATGTATCACGGTGTTCCTATAGATAATATAATTCATGATCCGTCTGATAAGTCGGCTGAGTCTAGATATAAAGAACCTAATGCAGAAGCTAAGAGTTTTTATCGGCTGTTAAAGGATGCAGAGCAGAAGTTATATCCAGATTGTGAAAAGTTCTCGAAGCTCTCTTTTGTAATGCGTCTTTTTCAAATGAAGTGTTTGCATGGTTGGAGTAATACTTCATTAGACTCTTTGTTAAAACTATTAAGTGATGCCTTTCCTAAAAGACGTGCTCCCTAATTCTATTTATGAAGTTCAAAAGATTATTAAAGATTTGGGTCTGGATTATGTGAAAATAGATGCTTTTGTTAATAATTGCATCTTATATAGAAAGGAATATGCGGATCTTGAGCAATGTCCTAAATGTGGTCAGAAAAGATGGATAGTACGGAAAGGAGGAGAAGATGGCAATGAGGTTGCTTCAAGTAAATTGAATAAGATAAAGAAAGGAATTCCTAGAAAAATTCTCAGATACTTTCCTTTGATCCCAAGATTACAACGATTGTTTATGACTAAACGAACCGCAGAAGATATGAGGTGGCATAAAGATAAGCGAGTTGATGATGGAGTATAAGGCATCCAGCTGACTCACTGACATGGAAAACTTTTGATGAGAACCATTTGGATTTTGCATCAGATCCACGTAATGCAAGACTTGGACTTGCTTCAGATGGTTTTAATCCTTTTGGTTCCATGAGTAATGCCTATAGTATGTGGCCAGTATTCTTGATTCCGTATAATCTTCCCCCATGGCTATGCATGAAACAGTCTAATATTTTATTATCGTTGCTTATTCCTGGCCCAAAAAGCCCTGGTATGAATATAGATGTGTATCTCCAACCTTTGGTTGATGATTTGAAAAAATTATGGGAGGATGGAATTGAGACTTATGATGCTTTTAAGCAACAAAATTTTCAATTACGTGCTTCTTTGTTGTGGATAATTAATGACTTTCCAGCATATGCCATGTTGTCCAGTTGGAGCACAAAAGGTAAATTTGCTTGTCCAGTTTGTCATGTAAATACTTGCTCCATTTACTTGAAATATGGTCGAAAGCATTGCTATATGGGAAATAAATCATCCTTATCGTCGGACCAAAAGTTATTTTGATAACACAAGGGAAGAAAGACCTGCACCACAAGCATTGAGTGGATATGATGTGCTTGCACAACTAAATACATCCTTACAAGGATCCATGGGTGACAACACAAGAAATAGAAAACGAGATACGGAAAGACCTGACAACTGGAAGAAGAAAAGTATATTCTTTGAACTCCCATATTGGAGGACTGTATTGTTGAGACATAATTTGGATGTAATGCATATAGAAAAAAATATTAGTGAAAGCGTGATAGGAATGTTGTTGGATATTGACGGAAAAACAAAGGACACATTGAAATCTCGATTGGACATACAAGAGATTAGAATCGAAAAGCCTCTTCATCCAATAAAAAGTGGGGATAAGTACATACTTCCTCCTGTTAGTTATGCAATGTCCAAAACTAAGAAGATTAAATTCTGTCAACTCATCAAAGATGTCAAGTTTCCTGATGCTTATGCTTCTAACATTAGTCGTTGTGTCAATGTTAAGGAAGCTAGACATTTTGGACTCAAAAGTCACGATCACCATGTTGTTTTCCAACGTATCTTTCCACTTATCATCAAAGGGATTTTGCCAAAGGATGCATATGATCCGTTAATTGAATTGTCATTATTCTTTGGTAATTTGTGTGCTAAAGAGTTGCATATGGATAAGTTAGATAAAATAGATAAAAGTATACGGGTGATAATATGCAAACTAGAACATATATTCCTACCATCATTCTTTGATGTTATAGTTCATTTGGCAATCCATTTAGCAAAGGAGGCAAAGGAGGGTAGTCCTGTTCAATTTCGATGGATGTATTTCATCGAGAGGTTAGATTTTTACAACTCTAAATTTTTCTTTTAGTTGAAATTTGCTCGAAACTAATATAACTTTACTTAACAGAATGTTGCGCACATTAAAAGGTTATGTACGCAACATGGCTCGCCCAGAAGGGTCAATTGCTGGGGCTATCTTGCAGAGGAATGCATGGCATTCTGTTCCAAATATTTGACTGATATGGAGACAAAGAAAAATCGCCCAGATAGGAATTCTAATTATTCCAACATGGATCCTAATGGCTTGTCTGTATTCAACTGTCGTGGTAAGCCATTTGGAGGGGGTGATTGGACAAAATTGAATGTATCTTGAAATCAAGCAAGCGCATTTTTACATCCTCCAAAATTGTGCAGAAAGTGGCTCTTTTATCGAGTAAAAAACTTTTCACTTAGTTTACATTCTTTTCTTTCTTATGAATTCTTTCAATGACTATCTTGTAATATTTTCATTTTATTTTAATTTTCACCATCTATAGGAAACATTTAGAAATATTAACAAAGGAGAATAACAGAAATGTTGCCAAGAGGCACAAGGAGAAATTTCCTTTATGGTTTCAGAAAAAGGTAACTTATATAATTCAATGTTGGTTGATATTTATTTAGGACAATATAAGTAGTACTAATATTTGTGAGTTTGTAATTAATAGGTGCTACAATTAAAATATAACGGTGACAATCGAATTACTGATCAATTGCTAGCTTTGGCAAGAGGTCCAGATTTACGAGTTGAATGCCATAATGGATATGTTTTGAATGGTTTTAGGTTTCGAACAATGGCATCTGAGAAATTTTTAAAAACTCAAAATAGTGGTGTAGTTGCAAAGAGTGATGAATATACAGAAAATGCTGATTATTATGGAAAGGTAAGAAGAATATTAGAAATCCAATATTTGGACAAAAATTTAGTGATATTATTCCAATGTGACTGGTTTGAAGTTCCGCCGCATGGTCGAAGTCAAAGTAGAGGTTACCAAAGGGATGAATATGGATTCATATGTGTGGATGTGACACGACTTTATTATACAAACGATCTATTTATTCTAGGATCACAAGCTCAATCTGTGTATTATGTTAAACATGATCAAATGAGAATTGGAATGCAGTGGCAAGGGTAAGACCATGAAACTTGTATGATCTACCCGAGCAAGATGATGAAACAGAACCTTATCAATTAATTGACCTGGTTGAAAGGGAAGAGCAAAATCTTCAAGTAGAATCAGACACTGATATGATTAGAATACAAAGAGAAAATATTGATGGATTGAGTATTGAAGCACCTTCTCTCAATAATGAGGAAGAAATAGACTTAGAAGTTGTATTTGAATCGGATAATGAAGATAGTGATGACTCAACAGATGAAGAATATTTATCTGAGGATGAACATGGTGAAAATGAGGATGATGATTGGCTGTGAGGATGAATGTGATTTTTCACCACCTTGCCCAAATGGTTAATTTTTCCTTTCCGCTTCTCTTTTTATTTTTTTATTATGTTTGTTACTATTTAACTTCATTTAATATTTAGAATGGTTAGCTTCATCCCATGTCAAATACTGAGTCAAAACATATCTAAATACATGATTTTATATCTAACAATCGTTGTTTAGTCACTATATTTGTTTTATTTTTACTTAAATAGTCTGTTTGGGCATACACCTTAATCTATAGTTATGTTTTTGGATAAATTATTTTCTGATTGACAATATGTGCAATGTTCTGCCTTCACTTCTACTTTCAACTAGTTCCAGTATAATTCTTTTTATTATGTCTTGCAGACTATCATGATGACAAATGCACATGTTTTTGCTAGTGTTGAATCTGCTGGAGTAATTTCAAACCCACAGCCACGTGAGTTGATTCATTTAGTAAAAAGTAGCTTTGAGAACTATCATGCTTGTATAACTTAGTAGAAACCGACTTTCTATGCCTTCAAATTTGGTAATAAATTCTTATAAAGAGTAAGATTTAATTATTTGAGTAATTGATTTATTTTTAGTCACTTTGAGTGAAGTATGATAATAATATATACTTTAAATCATAAGCTTTTTTGAACTACTAATCTTTTAAATTTTCTCATGCATTTCAAGTAGAAGATACAATAGGTTGTTAGTTGCTATTTATTGTATAAATATTTATTTTGTAGAGGAAAAGAAATTGTTCTCCATCTATTTGTGGATTAGAGATCACATCTTTATATTATTTGTAAATTTTAATTACTTTGGAAGTTGAAGTTTGTAAGGACTTCATATGAAAATACTATGCCTAAGGTCGATACATTTATTTCCTTTCTGTAGAGTATTTTTCTCAGTGATGAATTGATATTGAAATTTTCTGGAGTCTTTTATTTTAATATTCTTATGTATTGTTGAAGGACAAATGAGAAAAGGAAGGGGGAAGACTAGAGGGTTTTCAATCCAAAAGAAACGCAAAAATAATCCCAATGGAAAACTGGAGGTGATTATCCCACCCGATCGAACAGTAGCAGTTGGTCCTGGAGCTAATAATTTTGTTACCGAGCTTTTAGTTACAGTTGACCAGAATGCTAAGCATGATGTCAAAACTTGGAAGAAAGTTTCTGATCTAGCAAAAGAAAGGATTGTTGATCATATGCTAGTAATTCTCTTTGTATATCTTAAGTTCATAGTTTTTTGTTCTTGAATGAGTAGTATTCAACCAAATGGCATATTTAGTAACATTTGCCCATTATAGTAGTAGTATGTCTAAAGAACAGTAGGCATATTTTAATCTAATGGTTCCAGCTTTGAAATCCTTTATTATAGGTTCCACAAACAAATCTATTTGGTTGCTAGTAGAGTCTTAGGTGACAAAACTATCACTTCTAATTTTTTTATTTTAGTGCAAGACGCCTTTGAAATTCCAGACACGCAACACACTAGGGATACTATCCTTCATACAGCTAATAATTTGTATCGATATCGTCATAGTAGGCTCCATAATCATTTCAAGAAATTTGCTACAAAGGAGGAACAATTGCAGAACATACCAGAAGATGTTACTGAAGTTGAATGGAAATTCTTGGTGAACTATTTCGAATCTGATCCCTTCAAGGTAATTAAATGAAATATGCACAAAAGCTATTATTTAGCTAAAAGAATTCTGAAAAATGTCTACGTCAACTAGAGAAGTTACATAAAACTAAGAAAGCACAATGGAACTTAAATTCTCATGACCAGATCCAAAGTCTTGTTTATTTTTTATTTTACGTTTTATACTTGAATTATAGGATATATCATTAATTCATATTCAATGCAGAGAATGAGTGCTAGAAACAAAATAAACAAAGCAAAACAAGGAATCAATCATATTTGCGGTAGAAAATCCTTTGGGGCAATCTCTTTTGAAGAGGTGAGATGTGTCTTATTTAATAAATTTAGTAATTCTTTCTTCAATAACATAATTTGATTTAATTTGTTGCAGAGCAAATTCAAGAAACAGAAGAGGGTACTGATGATATAGACCCTATTGTTAATGCGTCCGTTATGAAAATTGTTGGAGAAAAGTCAAGCTATTATCACGGGCAAGGATCGGGACTTAAGCTAACAAATAAGCGATCCATGTAAGGGTTTCAAGAGCAACTGCAAGCACAAAAAAAAGAGGTGGAAGAAGAATATCATAAACGAGAGAGTGTAGAATCTAAACTTAAAGAAGTGCAAGAGCAACTTGAGGAGGAGCGGAAAAATCTAGAAGTCATGAAAGCTCATGTAGGAGTCATGGAAGCCCGTGTAGGACGTGAGCAGAAAATGTTAAAAGAGGGCATGGCGGGACTTGCATCCCTTATACAAAGTTCTCAGGTATTAGTATAAGCACTAAAGTTTATGTAGGTTCCTTATGAAGACCAAATAGTTATTTTATAAATCTTTTGAGCTAAATCAGAAGTTGTAGCATGTAACAATGATTCACGTGTTATATCTTTGAACATTTCTAATGTTCCTCTGTTTGGTATCATTCCACCTAAAATTGGTCTTTTAGACAAACTTGAAAACTTTATTATGTTTGGAGATAACTTAATTGGTACACACCCTTTAGATATATCCAAGCTTTCTTCTATCAAATACGTTAATCTTTCGAATAACAGTTTTAATCTCACATTGAAAGTTCGTTGTGGTTGGGTTTAGAGGGTAACTCACTTACTGGAAAAATGCCAAAGAGTTTGGCTTTGCTTCCAAATCTTGAACTTAGGTTAGATTATTTTAATAGTTATGAAGGTGGAATTCCACCCGAGTTTGGTTATATTAGTACCCTTAAGCTGCAAAGATTCTTTAAGTTTGTTAACTAACCTATTAATTGCACTTGTAGTACTCAGTGCTTTCCAATAATTCTTTGCTATTGTTCTGGAAAATGAAACTTGTCAGTCTTTTTGATATTACAAAATATTTTCATCCTTGGTACTATCATGTTTAAGATCTTTATTTGTGCTCTGTTTAACAGACTCGACATCATGGTAAGTAGAGCAGTTGTGTAATGTATTAGGATACTTAGTACTATTAGCTAAGGTGTAGCAATATCGTATAGTGCACTTTCATTTTTGCATTCTCCTTGGGTTCTTTTCAATTGCACACTTGATGCCTGAATTCAAACTTTTCATTTCTGATCAAATTCCACTAAGAAGTTCTGCATCTGAAAATTTGCCAGAATTATCGATGGTCCGGTTGACAACTTCAGGCCAAAGCCACTATCAGTGATCATAGTTAAATAAATCACATCATTTTCCTGCAATGGAAAAGTAATTTGCCAATGGCAATGCCATCTCTGAACCACCTTTGAAATGAAACTTGAGCTATGGCAAAGAAACTGTTTTATGGCTGGAAATATTGAAACATGGCCTTAAAGCTGTTAATTTCTCAATATTTTTTAGTTCTTGAAATACCCTTAACTTGGTTCAAAAATGCACTAAGCATCGAAAACGCCATGATTCATGTATGTGAAAGTTGTGCCTGAATCCACAATACTCCCTCCATTCCCATTAGAATAAGGTGTCAAATACTCCTTCCATTGTGATAATAAAATGCACATTATTTTTGTGTTTGGATAGACATTATTTGGATAGTTGATAATACTTGACATCTTTTTGTTTGTTCAGTTGATACTCTTACTAAACCACATAAAATAGTATTGTATGTTTAGTTGGTTGCACCTCAGTTCTTGTAGTCATATTAGTTTAATGAGGTTAAGGAGTTTCTGAAGTAGTTTCTAATCTATTTTTATTTAGTTTTTTTTGGAGTAGATACTTGATATGATATCTTGGAGTTTATGTTATAATGTTTTTTTAGCTGAATATTTCTACCCCTACCATACTGTCTAATGTAAATAAGCCTCTGTGGTTCCCTCTATTTTAAATCAAAGTCTAATTATTATTATTTTTTTGTAGGATGATGATGCGTAAACCAACACTACTTGCAATCTGGTTCATGTGCTGCACAAGTCGGAAGATTTGTCTTTTGGGTTCTATTAGATTAGAATTTAGTGACCTTGGACAGATGATGTTTTTATCCTTTTCAGTAAAAACTTTTAGAAGTATTTAGATTTTAGAAGGGTGTAAATATCTAGTACAACAACTTTATATATTGACCTTTTGCATATATATAATATTCAGTAGTTTATATACATTTGTTAAAAATCTAAAAGCATATAGGAATTATATATAGCAACAATTCATAAGTTGTTGCTAAAAACATTTCACGAAACTTATATGCAACAATTAATGTTGTTGACACAAAGTAACTTATTGCCGCAATAACGCTTGTTGCTAAAATTCTTGATAATAAATTAACTAGCAATTCCCGCTACTTTTTTTGCAACAACTTATATTGTTGGAAAAATGATTGAGTTGTCGCAACAATTATTGTTGCTGCTGAATATTTTTATAAACCACAATTATATGCCTTTATAACAACAAAATAAAATTTATTGCAACAACAAGATTTATTGCGATAATTTAGCTTTTTGGCAACAACATTGGTTTTTGTTGCGTAGATTTTCCGCATCGGAGTTTGCTGCAACAACGTGCAACAACTTATTTTTTGTTGCGAAAAGTTTTTTTCGCAACGACAACCAACATATTACAACAAAAAATATTGTTGCAAATTTCGTAGTTTCATGTAGTGTGTAAGTCTTAATGTTTGATATTGTTTACGGGTAAAATCAGGGGCTAAGTTTTTCACAATTCACCGACAAGGAAACAAGAAAAGCACGGCTCGATACGACTACAAGCGAGGCCGAAGGACCCATCGTATTGGAACTCGAGAGAAGTGAATAATGCATATGGGATCAAGCACGGTGACATAACAGACCCAGGCTAAGTAAGATTTCTGGACCACGAGAAATGAGGAGAACGGTTAGCATGACGAGTAGGGAGCCGTAATATTTGCCCTCAGTCGGATATTATGGCGCGAATCCTGTCCAATATCAATTGCGGATTGACATTAATTCACCAGAAAAATGAGATTTTTACCTTATTTAAACTTGTACTAGGACTGAAATTCCTCTACTACTTAAATGAGAAGTTTCTTTTATTTTGACACACTATGACACGCAAATCAAAGGAATAAAGGTATGTTTTTGTCTACTAGCTACCGTTGAAAGTGTTCTTCACTTGATCTTCTTTATTTCCGACGGAGCTTGTATGGAGGGTCCGATCGAGGACGAATCCCACTGTTCAACTTAAGATTAGGCTTGATCATCATATTGGGATTGGTTTGATCATTTATTTTATTTTTAACTTAATTACATGTTGTTCTTAACTATTCGTATTGAATTAAATCACATATTCTTTAAACCGCGTACAAATTTAATTGTTACACATTTTTTAGGGTAAACAGTTTGGCCACCATGTCCCGGGCCCACGGCGGAAGGCGCGGGCTATAGCACACGAAAATTTGGGACTCGCGCGGATTTCCGGTTTTATGGCCGTAAAATGCCAAAAAACATAATTTGGTCATGGAGGAGCGGTGATTATGGTTCCTTAGGCCGTATTCGACGTCCCAGAAAAATTTTAGGCGATCCGGGTCCGGGGTCCCGGGTCCACGGCGGAAGGCGTGGGCTATAGCACACGAAAATTTGGGACTCGCGCGGATTTCCAGTTTTATGGCCGTAAAAATGCCAAAATACATAATTTGGTCATGGAGGGGCGGTGAATATGGTTCCTTAGGCCGGGGGCTAAGGATAATAGTGATGAGTTGATACGAACCATATTTTATGCTTATTCTTTGAAGTTTCGATTCCAGGTTAGCCCAAGGATGTCAAATTCTCAGTCTGCTCACTTGAACGTTGACGCTGAGTCAAGCCATCATGTGAGAATAATAACGTGATGCCTAGTAATGATGTGCCCATGTCGATCCCAATAGTGTCTCAACCGCCGATCCGATCTATGCTAACTCACAGGTGGCCATCAACATCAATCTACCGACTGATCCCGAAAACAGCATTTGTAGGGGACCTCGGCCAGTGGCTTGGGAGGCGCCCAAAGGCGAATGTGATGGAGTAATCCTGCGGTTGATTTTCGAAATATTGCAGGCTCAGCAAGCAGTGATAGCATAGTTACAAAACCAGAGCTATACCCCTAACAGGGGCGAGTCCGAGTAGTCACGGAAAAATACTTGGAGGGATGAACAAGTTGTCGTGAAACCGAGCAAATTCAGGCCCTAGGAACCTTCCGAGATGATGAAGATGCTCGAAGCATTGACAAAACAGATGGAGCCTGGCGAGAAAAAGATTGAGGCCAACGACAAGAAGGTGGAAACGTATAACTCTAGGG